ACCCCCGGGAATGGACCCCCGGCAACGGCACGGAGCTGGGTCAGGGGAGGTTTGGGTCGGACACTGGGGAAAGGCTCTTCCCCCAGAGGTGCTCGGGCACTGAGCAGCTCCCCAGGGCAGTGCTCACAGCACCAAGCCTGACAGAGCTCCAGAAGCGTTTGGACAGTGCTCTCAGGCACATGGTTGGATTCTTGGAGATGTCCAGTGCAGGGCCAGAGCTCGGACTCTGATGATGGTCGTGGGTCCTTTCCACCTCGGGATATTCTGAGTCAGTGAAAAGTCACCATTACCAGTGATGGTCAGAGATTGGCACGTGCAGTCCTATTGCTCTGTGCATGATCCGGTCTTCAGAAAAACAGGAATCTTTAAATTAAGCAGCATGTTCATTCTGCACTTATACAGACACACAATTATTTCCCCAGAAGTCTGTACTGAGCTCAGGCCAGTCTTGCTGTCATCCTAAGGTGCACTTGGATTTGTCTTCTGTCCTCACAGGTTGGCTTGGCCATCAAGCCTGGCACCACGGTTGAGCACCTGGCACCTTGGGCCAATCAGATAGACATGGCTTTGGTGATGACGGTAGAACCAGGGTTCGGAGGGCAGAAGTTTATGGAAGACATGATGCCAAAGGTACATGCTGTGTTTCCTTTTCCTTGCATGTGGAACTAAAAGCTAATTCACAGAGCGGAGTGCAGTGGTGAAGTGAATAAACTTTGTTTAGATGTGCAAGTATGTGTGATGGTGGCAGCTGAGTCTGGATCTCTGTGCCCACCTTTTTATACGGTTTCTCAGGTTCAGTGGCTGAGGACACAGTTTCCCTCCTTGGATATAGAAGTGGATGGAGGAGTTGGGCCTGACACCATCCATAAGTGTGCAGAGGTAAGAGGTTGCAGAGGAACAGCATTGTCAGTCACTGTGTTAAGAGACTTAATCATGTCCCATAAAATAAAGCTTAGGAGGAATTTCTGACCGTTAGTTTTCAGAGGGAACAGTAAGACACACTTACACACTTAATATCGAAATCTACCTGAGGTCTAAATCTTGTGCCTTTTTTCCATCAGGGCTACTGAAACCTCCCCGAAGCTAGAGAAGTTGTTTCTTGTATGTTTGGGTAGATAAGAGCAATGATGAAGAAGTTACCTATTTGGGGAAGAGCTGTCTCTTCTGAACTTGATTTATTGTTGTAGTTAGAGGAATGTCACCTGTGTCCCACTAACAGCACTTGTTTGCCCACCAGCCCCCAGTTCAGTACCTCCTCAAGGGTTGTGCAGCAGGCGAACGCGGTGGGCAGGGGCCGTGTTCCGTGTGGCTGAGCGGGTGTTCCGTGTCTTTCAGGCGGGTGCCAATATGATCGTGTCTGGCAGTGCTATTATGAAGAGTGCAGACCCGAGGTCTGTGATCAATCTCCTCAGGAACGTGTGTTCGGAAGCGGCTCAGAAGCGCAGTCTGGACCGGTGAGACCTGCCCCAGCGTGTTCAGGAAGGCTCTGGGCATGCAGAACCCTTGTTTCTCGTGTGTCGGAGGGCTGGATGAACACTAAGTACAGAGCCTTCTTGCTGCTGAAGAGAGGAATCATTCCTTCGCTGCAGTGAAGCAAGCAGCAGTGGGGAACATTCTGGCTGTCTTTCAGGGTTGGAAATGCAATGGTTTGAACCTGTCTCTTGATTCTGTGGAGGCTAATTTTATGGCACAACCTCTAACACTGACTGGATTGAACTACAGTCGGTTTTTTGCTTGCCAGAAGAGAGTAGCATTGCCACAAGCAATCTCTCTTGTGGAAGACTCTAATCAAACTGCCTTCTGCTGTCTGTATTTTGTAATTTGATCTGTGCATTCCTACAAAACCTTTCCACTACTGCATTAAACACCCCTTCCTTGGTGTGGTAGGTCTCCTTTAAGCTGATGGTCAAAAATGAGTGGTTTGGGGGAAATGCAGTTCAAGAGGGCTAAAAAAGAAATCCCACAGACGCTAGAAATGTCCCTGCACTTTACCTTTATTACATAGAAGTACTTGTTCCATGCTTGACTTACGTAGGTCAAGCCAGTGCAGCATCTTTACCAGGTCACAAAGTGAGGAATATATCTCTTCTCATTTAGCTTTCAAAGAGCCAGCTGTGTCTGGAATTCCTGGAAGCCATGGGATTCCACAGAAGAATGTTGCTTAAAAACCCTTCAGATAGTTAAAAACCTTTATCTTGCCCTACAGCCTCCTTGGCTGGGATGTATGCTGGAGTAAACAGTTATGGTGGTGCCTTACAGGAATGCTGCCTGCTAGAGCAATATGTAGGTTGAAATGTCTGGAGATGGCTCTGTACAACAGCTTTTGGAACCAAATAGTTCTCAGTCCTTCAGTTTGCTGTGCCCACATCACAGCCTGGCCTCTTTGGGCACGTGGAAGGTGACTTAGAATGCACTAGAGGAAGGCTGAGCAGGCCACCTGAGGGAGACCTGCCTCCCATGGTTCTAATTAGTATTGTCGACTCTTTAATATTTCATGGTCTTCTGCGTGGTATTTTTCCCTTTACGTTGTAATTACAGAAGGGTTGCAAACAGTCTGCTGCCCCAGGGGACCAGGACAGGAGGCTCAGCAGCTGCAGCCAGGCCCTTTCCACAGGTCAGATCTGTTGTCCTCACAGCAGAGCTGAGCAGGTGTCACCTAGCAGCTGCTGAGCTCGGGGCCTGGGAGGTGCCACACACTGCCCTTCTTAAGCAGGTGGAGCTGAGGCTAGTTCAAACAATCTAGACAAGTGTCTCAAATGGCTAAATACTACTTTTTCCCCTGTGTGATTAATTGTGGTTTAGGTGAACTAATGTCGTTGCTTCCTGTTTCCACTTTGCAACCCCATTTGGGAACTAGCAAAAGAAATACAGAGTCATCTGGACCTACTTCTTTGAGGTTTGCCAAGAGCAAGCTTGGCTGGGAGAGGCAATAGTCCAAGGGCTGATGGGTGTGTCAGAGCAGCTTATCTGTGCTTCTGGAAAGAACCAGTGTAGAGGCTAATGTACGTGCATGGACAAACAGTCAGGGCTCTGGTAGCTAAATTGCAGGCAAAGCAGCACCAGTTACTATGAAAATGCTAGTTCAGGAGGTGCTGTCTCGCTTTTTGTACTGCTGGAAGCAGTAGGACAACAGCTTCAGTATCCTGGCCTCCTGCAGTGTAAACTGGATTGAAAGGATAATCAAACTATTTCTGCATTTTTTCCTAATTAATGTGAGGAGGACATCCAAGTTGTGCTAGTTCACGGATGTACTAGACTTTGTGGAACCTTATGGTATGTTCTCTCACAGGTTGTAGCTAGTTTGTCATTGTTTTAAGGCTGGCAGTTTGCACTTGCATTGATTCTTGAGTTAGGAGTCTTGTGGGACAGAGATATTACAGAGTAAAATGACTCTATTGCTTCTTTCTAAGTCCCAGCCAGGTGGGTTTATGCAGCTCCTGCTGCAGCAGCTTTTACACACCGAAGGTTAAATCCATTAGTGACCGCATTCATGGAAGTAACAGTAATGAATGATTCTTGTTCTTTAATGCTTAAGACTGTTTCCGTTTCTTGCCTCTGTACATTCAGATAAGTCATCTGTTAGGGTCTATTTGGGCCTGCCTTTCTGTACTCTGCAACAAGCCCACAGCCCCAGGACTGGAACCGAGCACTGACACAGAAACCTTGAGAGCTACTTGCATGGTCTCCTGGGGCCAAATAAACCCCAGGCCCGCAGTACCCTGATAAGGTTTCAGCCTTAAGGGAAAGCACAGCCTGGTGGTATTGAGGCACGTGGTCTAGAGAGGTCCAGGGTGATCTGACAGCACTGAAAAACAGGATGAAAGCGACTTTGACAATCAGAGTCAGGCTGGGCTTGGAACACGTGCTGCATGGGATGGTACAGCCCGAATCCCCGAGTGAGGGAAAACACTGCAGGAGATGCACACAGAGCTTCATTTTAATAGGGCTTAGAAGTTTGTATTTGTACTTGCAGTCCACTAAGGTCCTGGATGCAGAGATGAAGAGTTTAAACCCTCATAGCAGCAGGGAGCAGAACATAAGTGGCCTTCAAAAAATGTCACAGTTGAACATGGTAAACAAAGTGCATGGGAAATGGCTTTGTGCAGCTCCAAACCCTGACTTTTGTGGGGGGAGGGGGGGCCTTGCTGCATTATAAGTTGGTATTTCACAGTTAGTTAGCCTTTGAATAATTTCAGGCACAGCACTAGGAGCAGCACTGACAGCTGTTTTCATAGCTTAGCAGCCAAACAGGTTGGGTTTTGTTTGTGGGTTTTTGCCCCTGTTGTTTAAAACCTTAAAAATGAAAGGAAACAAGCAGGGGGTTCTCACACATTTTATGGCTTCAAGGATGAGCCTGGCCCTGGGCTCTCAGCCCCTTTCCACCACTGGCAGCTTCCTCAGGCCATCAGCATTTGTGCCAAGCAAACTCTCTGGAGGCAGGAGCCCAGCTCTGCTGGGTCATGGCCTGCAGGCAATAAATCAGAGTACCAGTGCTGACTTCAAGCTGCATGTGGCACAGGGAAAGAAGGTGAAAGGAGAGGACTGGTCCTGGCACCAAGTTGAGTTAAGGAAGTTTTCTAACCCTGTCCCAGTAATGACATGGAGATACTGAAAAAAATCAGGTGCCTCTCTGGCTGGAGCAAAGACACAGAGACAGAGAGGGCAGGCACAGGTCTGCTGCGAGGTAGCAAATGAGCAGAGGTGCTGCAGGTGAGCAGCACAGCCTAGGACTTCTGAAAAGCATCTGGCTTGCCATGTGCACACAGCATTCCCCACCTGCCCCTGCCAGATGGAGTGCTGCTGGAGACAGGCACGGTGATGGGGGGAAGCAAATGCAGCCTGTTCCTGGTCCCCCTTCTCTGCACTGGCCGTTGTGCTGCTCAGCTGCTGGCAGAGACCTGCTCACCACCACTGTGTGGAGCAGCCCCGTGGTGGCACCACGAGCAGGAAGAATTGCTCTGGCACTGTGCTCCAGCTGTGCAGTGCTCAAGCAGCCACAGTTTGCTGTCACAAGCCTGGCCAGCTGAAAGGCAGCTGTTGGAGAGAAGATTTCTGCCGGGGGTGGGGTGGAGTAACGACCAAATAGACATTTTTATAGTTTCTCCAGGGATTTTTTTTTTCCTGTTTCTCGGCTGCTTGGCCTTTCTTTGGCTACCCTTTCCACTGCTGCCCCCGAGGCACCAGCTAGTTCCCACAAGGGCTGACAAGAATGTGTAAGAGGGAACAAAGCAAACGTCCTTACCCCGGCTCAGATCACTATCCACTTGTGCACCCCTGCAGTGGGCAGGGTACCCAGCAGCTGCTCTGGCTCACAGCGGGACTGGCCCAGGAGCCACAGGATGGTTTGGGCGTGCAGGGACAGCTCTGCAGTTCCCCAGGCTGACCAAGCTGGGGAAATCCAGTTCCTGTGGCACAGGGGCTTTTGGCCTCGGTTTTAATATCCTTCCCACCCTCCAATCAAGAAAAACACCCTCCTCTTGCTCCTTCCAATAACATGCTAGATTGCATTTCCATTTCCTGGCAGCACCTTCAGGCCATGGAAGGCAGCTGGCCAGACTTGGTCTGTCCCATCTCTTAAAGTGCAGGAATCCCTTCTCCTGCCCCAGGCATCAGACAGCGCAGGAATCCCCGACCTCACAACAAAGCTGAGCAAGAGCTGGTTGGACCAGGACTGAATGGATACGGGTATGGAAAAAGCATCTGAGAAACCTTTCAGAAACCTTTTCCCAGCAGCAGATGCACATGCAGGGCAAGAGAGACGGCAACATCCACCTCTGCACCGAGGGGGCCCTTAGCCTCACAGCACCAGCACCACAGCAAAGCTGCAGTGGGTTTGCAAAGCCATTTGTGAGCCAAGCAGGGCTCTGTGCCAAGAGGAAGCATTGCTGCTACTTCTTCACTTCTAAAAAGTCATCAAATTCAGACTACGTACACCATATAGAGAAATAACTTTTAATTAAAAAACAGTCTTACAAAGCTCAGATGCCAGTATCAGACATTGAGGCAACATTCAAGTTTAAGACAAACCAGTGTTAAAAAAGTGTTTACAAAATCATCAGAATGTGCAATAAACTACAATGTAACAATAGGCTGTAGTGTTGAAACTTGACTGAACTGTTTTCAGATGCCCAGTGTATGTTTCCTGTCATTTTGACCAAAAAAATAAACTGACACTAAAACTGGGTCATCTGTGCAGTGCCATTCCAGATATTACATGTGGAAGAAAACTGTACAAGAACAGAGACTTATTAAATTGTCTTGAATTGTCCTACACAGAAGAACGTCCTGTTGATGGATTATATCTACATTTGATGTTTAATCTTTGTTAATACCTCGTGAGATTGCAGATACATTCCAAGCTATGCTAGTTCGATGCGAGTCAAAACAGCTTGTCTTTGTCTCCTCACTGTGAATTCACTGGGAAATGAAAAGTCTATCCAGAATCACAATGCAAAGCTTTGTGGCTTTTTTTTTTTTTCATTGGTCTTCTATTTTCAAGTCGTTTTTCTGTGGTCAGTTGAGTTGTTGGATAAGGTAGGCAGCACTTGCTGCACCAGGGTCCACTTGAACCAGAAATATATTTGAAAACAAACAGAACAGGAAAAAATGATTCTTGACAAATGTAGGCAGTATGACAACAGAAAGTGAACAGTGCCGACTCCCAAACACTGGGAATATTAGACTTCCAGCTTCCAGTTTGAAAGAATTCCTTTCTCTTGGGGTTCAGGAAGAAGAAAGTGTTGTCTTTGGAATTTATCCTGCCTGTAACAAAGCAAGAAAGAGAATATATTATATGTGGGGCCATCTCTCAATCGCGGCAATTATATGCAGCTAATGCAAAGGTTTTGAATTGTGCTGTCATACACTGCA